GTTTGTAACTTACACACTCCGCAATCGTCGCAACAGTTGAATAGGCCACTGCTCCAATCGCGCCTTGGCACATTTGGTACCTGCAACAAAAATGAGAAGGACACTTTGTAGGTTGGGCTTGGCAGACCTCAATAGAATTGTGTCGATGGGATGAACAGCCTACGCTGGTCTGTTTGACCCGTGGCTAACGCTTAAAACGACCACTTCGTGCGGTTCTAGCCTATGCTGGCGAGTGACAAGGTTTCCTCGACCAAATGCCCGGAACATGGCAGAAAAGTTGGAGTCTTGAAGCAGCATGTTGACGACGGCTCCCGTCCTCCTTTGTCCTTTCAGGCGGTCGTGGAGACACAAACGGACAGAGCGAGAGGCAAATAAAGCATTTGAAGATGGTTTGCCGAAGGAAATCTTGAAGAGCTTTCACCCACGAGGCTGGCCTGGCTCTTTAACCTCAACTTTCACTAACAATAACACCTACCAGCGCCCATGTTTCCGCTGTTCGACATCCTCTTTGCATCGAATGACGAAGAAGAGCCTTTTAACGGCCCTCAAAAACGGAAGATCGCACTGGCCTTCTGCCGTCTGTAGACGCAAACGAACACACAACAAAGCCTGTTCTGATGGGAAGATTTTGCTCAAGCCTAGAGCCACTTGCTGGCGTGTTGTGGCTCGCTTCATTCCGCAGATTTTCTCGAAGTGAGCAATTTTCGAGACTATCATTTGAGCTTAAATGAACACTTGAATTGCCCTCGGTTGCCCAGGTTGATGCGAGGAATGATAATTAAAGCCTCCTACAATGAAATAATTCAGTCACTCTCAATCAGGCTTGTCAACTTTCACAAGAATGACTCATCTCGCCTTGACTGCGGGTTCGTCTTCGCATCATCCTATCAGCGGCGTTCATGAAGGGATTGGAAACCTGATCGCGGGTTAAACGCGAAAATATCACCACCTCATCAACGGGACGAGGTCGCCTACAAGGCCAGTTGGGCATTTGCCCAAAGCCGGCTTTTTCAAGTGGGACTGTGGTTGGTACAGCAACCTTGTATTTATCACTACGATCAGCGAAGGCTACCGAATTTCAAAGAGATTGCAAAAGATAGATTGCAGAAGTATCCAAAATGACTGAATAAAAATTATACTATTTCTCCCTCCCCCCCATCCAGAGGGGCCGGATCGAGCCTGTGGCAACAGCAGCAAACTGGTCGGTCCAGTTCGTCCAAAGGAGTTGAGGCAGTTGGGAATTGAGAGACTAGACGTACGAACTCGAGTGGGCTCAGCTGGGACAAGGCCGGAAGGTAAGACGAATACGATTGGTAGAAGAGAGCGATGAAAAGCACGAAGTCGAGGGCGAGGGTGAAACGACAGAGGACCAGATGGCAATGACGGCAGGGATGAAAAGGACGGTGAATACACCGAGGATGGCAATGACAGCGAGGACGACGAGGATGGTGGGTACGGCGAGAAATAAAAAACGGCGAGGACCGCAAGTACGGCGAGGATAACGAGGAATGCAAGTAGGCCGAGTAAGTCGAGGAATGGGTGTAGCGCGAGGATGGCAATGACAGCGAGGACGACGAGGATGGTGGGTACGGCGAGAAATAAAAAACGGCGAGGACC